GGAATGGTTTGAGGAACATGATGAAAAGTTCAGGGTGCTGCTCTGGCACTTCCCCACATCCCAATCCAGTCTGGCATCTGGGGGATGCTGGAACAACAAGTCTGATCCACGGTGGCTCCACCTCACAACTGACAGGACTTACAGGATCTGCTACTAACGTCCTGGTGCCAGATACCACATAATTGCAACAAAAGAAGTTTTTCTCATTCTTATGGAATATTCAAATATTTGAGATAATATTCAATAGCATATCGCTGCTGCCAGAACAAAACTTTGTATCTCCAGTTTTGCCAATTTTCAGTTTTTGACAAAATTTGAAAATGCCTTTTTCCTTTACATTGTGTGTAAATTTTATAATGAATGGACCAAAGAAACGGCCCAAAATTAGTTTGAAAAAAAATCTGATTACAAAGACTTTTACATTAAAAGCAAAGCATGCAAGTTACCATTTTGGAGGTATGAGGTTTTGTTCCGACAGCAGCGATATTCAAAAAATGAAAAGATTAGATACCTGTATGCGTAATGTATATAATGCAAAAGATGGATGCTTGAGTTTGCGACTCAGACTTGAGTCGCACTCAAGCATCATTTTGACTGACTGGCAACTTAACTGGCCTTAATAAAATCAATAAAACCCTTCATGTGCATCTTTGCCTGTTAATTCCACAACCAGTCATTTACTGCAATGCCATTCTCTCACAGCATACACCACTGCCAGCCTCAGCATGGCTTGGAATAACAAAGACATTACAAAAGGCTTCAATCTGACTTGTTTTAAAACAGTATTAAAACGTGTCCGCACAAACAGCAGATATGTTTACTGCAACAAAATCATAATCACAAGCTCTCGTGTCACAAGCTAAAGTTGGCCTTCAGATGCAGCTAGAAGAGTACAGTATCTGCTTAGCAACTAGGTTAAATCGCTGAATTTGCTTGTGATTGTAAATATAGTTTGCAAAGTGAGAGGGCGTGATTTGAATGGACCTCTAAGGTGTTTATACTTCACTTATGCAAATCTAGACTCAGTGTGTAAAAAGGGCTCACGCTTGAACCGACTTAAAGGGCTCATATACAGTTTTCTTGTCTTTATTTTGTTCCTTTGAGGTCCACTTGTGTACTAAAAACAGTTGTAATTCATTTTTACACGACCATTTATGCTTTAGAATTAAACAGGCTGTTTATTGCTGTGATTGATATATGTAAATGAGCTCTGCTCTAATTGGCTGCCTTGAATTGTGCCTCATTTAAAAAGCAGTTTAGACTAAAACACTCCTAACTTCACACTAATGTAAATGGACAGGGTTATACTGTTGTAGGCCGAATAGGTGTAAATACGTAAATGCATTGGTTTTCGTGACATCACAAATTCAAAATGTGCAGCACAGTTTCCATTACGTGACTGTATGGATAAACTACTTCAGAAAAGTGGGAAAAAGTTGTTTTTCCCATGACAGAGGCCCTTTAAGACACACATTCAGGCAAATCTGTCCTGTCAGTCATATGAAACGAACACTTCAGAAACGTTTTTGGTGTGAACTGGCCTTCATAAGCCTGGCACCTGATCTTGGCCTGTTTCTAAGCACACCCTGCCTTGGTGGTATTAGCTGGCAGGCTTTTACAATATTAATATAGCTGCCCCGCAGCCTGCATTCTTCCCACATTCACTAAGGGAAAAAACGGCTTTTTTGGCCTTCCTGTTTTTCTTCAGCGACTAGACAAACTGAGTGTGTGCCAGGCTCTGATGTGTGCAGCTGCAGGCCAGCATAAATTCCCCAGTTCCCACACCAAAAATGTCTGAACTGGCATTCCCTTTCAAAAAGCTCTTTTATGAATGAAGCAACTGCTCCGGAGAGCCCGCAGTGTTTTCACTTGCTCTGACTAGCGCCATTCACTCGCATGTAACCGCATGCTTGCACAGGCAGCGCTTAGAAGCACCCGTGCGTGTGAAGTTGTGCTTGTGACTGGTGTAGGGATCGGTTGGAGGTTAGGTGAGGGTCATTAGGGTTGAGGGCTAAGGTGACCTTATGCTTAAGCTCAAGAGCTAGCCTTCAGCTAATGTTAGTTTTAAGCTGTAGCCTTAATCCAAGCCTCAAAGGGCCTATATCATGAAAAACCATGATAACTGCAACAGTACAGTAGTGTATTAGCCCGAACACATTTTTAAAGTTTCAAAGGATGTACACTCTCCAGTCCAAACAGTCTATACTGAAAACTAAGGCGCAACAAAGGAACCAAAACGGCCTCATCTGAATTCAATGTTTGTGATGTCACAAGAATCAATGCATTTACATATGTGCACCTATTCAGCCTTCCACTCATTCACGTTGAGTCATACGAACTGTATTTGCCTGAACTGCTTTGCGAAAGAGGCACAATCAGAACACAGCTCATTTGCATGCATCTGTCTTAAAGGTACAGTAACAAAAACAGTCCGTTTGCCTCTAATAGACAAAGAGAGGTTGAGGAGAGGTTGAAAAATGCCCAGGTAAAATTAAACTATGCCATAGAAGTGTTATAAGCAGAATTCAACATAAAAAAAGTAGGATACCGGCCCAATAAGGCCCTTTACACAAGCAGTAAAACTAAACCGAGGACACTTTCTGCAGAGGTTTTGATGAATGGTGAGAAGTACTTACGGCATAATATACCATCTAATGAGTGTTTCACTGCGGAAAAGGAATGATGAGGGAAGAGTGAGAGAAGAATAACACTGTACAGAAAGCAGAAGAGCAAGGGAGAGGAAAAGGGATGTGGTGACATAAGAGCGCTGCCTGACGTCAGCAGAGAGAACGAGGGAGATAGAGAGGGAGAGAGGAGGGGAGAGAGAGAAGAGAGAAGGCAAGAACGAGAGAGAGAGAGAGGAGAAAGAGAAGGAAGGAAGAGAGAGAGATGGGGAGAGGAGACAGAACAAGAGAGACACACACACAAGAGAGACACACACACTAGAGTTCTCTCACACAATCCTGGCTTTGTTTTGGAACATCTGTGTGTGTGTGTGTGTGTCTGTGGTGTGTGTGTGTGTGTGTTTGTGTGTGTGTTAATGGAGGTGCTGAAAGTCATGTTCCTGCTCTCCTCCATTGCATGTCTCTCTCTCTCAGCCCTGTAATCACTGACTCTCCAGCTCAGACTGACACTCCTCAGCTACAGCCCACTGCAGACAGACCACTGACTCCTTCCTCCAGATTCACTCACAGTCAGCTAGCCAACTATCCTTCGATATGCTCTGTAATCTTATCACCTCTCAACTCAATCTAAACACAAACATAGCTGTAAATACACATTTGAGGAAAAGAAGAATGGAAATGTAGGTAAAACTGTGCTTTGCTGTGACAGTCATGGGTATCACTTTACAGTAAGACTAACCCTATAAAGCATTCATGAATAGTTTAAAATTCGTTTATTAATGGTTATTAATTCGGTCATTGAAATAATTAATAAGCAACATATTAATAAAAAGGGCAACAGTGCCCTGTTCCATCTGATGAACATGAATATCTGATGAAGCTGAGAGATGGGCTGATGGAGAAAACAAAACAAAAAAAGATATAGAAAAAGTACAGACAAGATCCAGCAACCAGCAACATTTTAACAGTCTAGACAGATGAATGTGGGCTCACTATTTGGCAAGCAACATGTCACTGCTGCAATTTTTGACTTGTGTGTTATAACATCTTAATGTTTTTTAAAGGGCCCATACCCGACACTTTTCTCGCATCTTATATTTGCGCTTGGGGTCCACTGACTATATTTGTGTAGCTGAAAACTAGTCTGTGTACTTGTAGTTGAAAATGTACCAAAAGCAGTCAATTCATTTTTACATGACCATTTTTCGACCCCTCCTCAGCCCTTAGAATTGAACAGGCTGTTTTTGTTTTGTCTGACATTAAGATTCATACATGTTAATGACCTCTGATCTGATTGCTGCCCTGTATGGTGCTTGATTTAAAAAGCAGTCTGGGCCAAAACACTCCTCATAACTTTTTGACTGGGCGGAGCTAAACTAGGCTGAACAAGTGCTGGTTTTTGTGACATCACAGAAACAGTGAAATCAAAACAGGCTGTTTTTGCAGCTTTGCTTCTCTGTATGGAATATATGGACTGGGGAATGAAAGTTAAAGTTTCAAAATGTAGCAATGTTTAAGTACTACATCAAATTATTATATAAATAATTATAAAAAAAATATTCTTTTAATTATAAAAAAGTGAGGAAAATTCAGATTTCCATGATACAGACCCTTTAAGGTGTCTATGGCCTAATTAACAAACATTAAGAAACTAATTTTCGCCCATTCATTAACCCTGTATACGGGTAGACTTATTGTAAAGTGGTACTCAATTATGTCATAACTTTTGAGACCATGTCAGGAAAAAAAAACTGAAAAGCAAATAAAATAAATACGGGGCTGTTACAAATACTCAAAAAATCATTTAAAATTTGTCTTATAGATAAATCAGTAGTAATCAATCAGGAGTTTGCATGATGATGCAAACATAAAATTCTCCTGCTGCTCTCTCTCACAGTATAAGAACAATAACACATTATTTAAAATCATTTATCTGGGCAATAAATGTGTTGTTGCTTGTTAAATCACCATAAATCACCATATATTATATAAACAAGTAACATTAAATTGATAACTGTGAGCTATTTTTAAGTGCACAGTTTGGTTGCAGATTTCTTCTCAAAGCCATCGGCCGTCACAAGTATGTTAAATGCCATCACCAGCAAACTTGATTTAAATTAATGAAATACTAATTAGCCAAACTAATTATGGATGATAACTACAAATAATACTGGGCTGCCATGAGGAGAGGTTTGGAAATGGTTGAACAAACACAACGACATGCATGAAACCATTACTTATTGTATCAATGTTCTCTGACTGCCCATAGAAATAGCTTCTGAGGTTCCTAAAACTTTTGCACAGTACTGTACATTGATAGTGAAAGCCCTTGTTGAACACAAGGAAAAGTGAAAATGGAGAAGTTGAGGTTTTTACCTGGCACCCAGAGACACCTGGTTCTCTCCCATAAGCAGAAAACGGAGGCCTCTCAGACTTGCCTAAAGAGAGAAATGAAGAGAAGATGTGAGCCTCGCAAACAAATTCAATTCAGTTAGCAGATTTCAGCATTTTCCACTACGTTTCACAACTTTTAACACATATTTAAAACATTTAAAAAGGGGTACATAAATTAACCAACCAGGGGTTTAAAAAAACAAAAACAAAACCTTTTTTCTGGTGTATCATGATATTGCTATTGTCACGAAAATCTTGCTTCAAACATCTGAATGGCAACATTTTATTTGAAGGAACCCATATTACAGGTTTATTAAGGTTGTGTTATTTGTTCAATAAAGCCCATATTAGACACATATTACGTTTTATTTGAAAATGACAAATAATAGCATTACTAGTGTGATAACACACTATAAATAGTAAAACGCTGCTAAGAGCTGCTGGTTTAAATTACTGAGAATGAATCCTCCTAAGATTATCACATCTTATTAGTGTATAACTGGCAGTATTTGATTCTTTTAGGTTCTAGATAGCGTCAAGTGACGTGGTGTTTATTATTTCATTACTAAGCTAAAAGTTTAATAAGTCACTAATGGTTCAAGATGTGTTCCACATTCTAAAGTGCTAAAATCACTAAATCGGACTAATTAAGGTTTTAATAAATCAATCTGCATCACAAATTGTATACCTAGTCATGGTCGCTTGCCAAAAACAAAGAATTGAAAACTTGTCAATACCTGTTTCATGCATGAACTAATACAATGTGAATTTAAGTCATACTTCATTTTCAATAATTTTCAGTATGTCTTTATAAGTGTTCATTATGAATTATTACCAATAATAAGGCAATTAATAGTGATTTTCATATTAAAGGCCACTAATGCAGGTCATGAATAAAGCTTAGTGAATAAACCAATCAGAAGGGCCTTAATACCTTAAAGGGCCCATATCATGGTAAACCAAACTCATCTCAATTTGTTTAAATAAAAGAGGTTGATGTAAACATACTAAATCAACCCACACAGTCCATATATGGAAACCAAGCTGCCAAAACAGCCCATTTTGAATTCATAGCTTTTGTGATGTCATACATCTGCCACTTCAGCCTACAACAGTTTAGCCCTGACCACTCACACAGAATTTATAAGTGTTTTAATGTGGACAGCTTTTTGAATGAGGCACAATACAGGATTGGCCAATCAGCTCTACTGTATTTACATATGACACACAGTCACAAAAACAGCCTGTTTCATTCTAAGAGAGGTTAGAAAATTGTGATGTAAAAATGAATTATGACTGTTTTTCATGCATAAACTCTTACCAATGTCACAAGTGGACCTCAAGACTAAATGCAAGAAAAATCAGGCTATGGGCCCTTTAATAACCCCCCTTAAAATAAAATGATACCATTTGAGTTTGTCACTATAATTATATAACTCCTAAGAGACATCAGGAGCACTAACAGATCTTCACCAGATGCAACACTTCCATCAGTGTCAGTGACTCTCAGTGGGAAAGACAGAGACAGGAGCTACCAAGCAGTTGAAGAACTAATAAAAGAGAAAACTAAAGGAAAAAAACTGCAGAGCGCACAGTCCACATGAATCATGCACTTCACCATATCTAAACTCAGCAGTTTTAGCCTCTGCGCAAAAAAAAAACACCCCTAAACAAGAGAGTCCTAATGCAAAAAAATGATAAACAACTCCAGCAACATCATACATTACACTTGTCAGACTTTCAAACATTAACGAAGCAAACACTGTGTTGAAGCTAAATTCTGTTTACTCCGGGGAAAAGGTAAATATTTTTGTAAGTTAAGAAAGAAAAAAAAAAAAAACATGCATGGCAAGAGATATTTCCATCCGCTCGTCTGATGCGCGCGTGCAGGTTTGTGGGCGGAGTGTGAGGGGCTTTGGCTGTGCTGGGCTCAGGTGTGCTCCACCGCACTTGGCTGTACCACAGTGGTGTGTCTCCAGAGGCGCAGCGGTAATCAGGTAGCGTGGTTTAACTGAAACTGCTTCCCTTGCGGTGTCAACAGCGTTCACTTGATGTAACACAGCAATTCTGGGTTAGCTCTCCTGCATGGGAAGAGCGAGCCCCTCAGCCACTGCACACAAACCAAAACATCTGTCTTCAGAAACAAAGGTTACAAGTCTTTCTTTTCCTCTCTTCCTGAGCTGCAACTCAGCCAGGCTTGAGTTTTTGAGTTGAATTCCTCTTACTGTATCGCATTCAGATGATCAGTCTGGTCACATCATGTACAACTGCAAATGATACTTCTGTTGCCACTTGCTATTCTCTTTAGCACAGAGCTAAAGACGTTAAACAGTAATAAACCTCAGCTAGCCTGAACTGGTGCTTTGGTTCAGTAAATCTGCTTCAGAGAGTCAGAAGCTATTTGTGAGATCATTTATTCACATAACTGTATGAAATACTGGGTGCGATAACAAGATCCATAATGAGATATAATGTAATAATCATTAATTAATAATTTACAATGATGAAAAGCACTTTGCTCACCCCGTAACACAGGGCCCCCTC